CAGCTGCATCAGCAAAATGTCCCCAGCTAGGGACAGGTGCCATTTTGCTCCCTCTCCCGCAGGGGAGATAGCCATGTTAGCCCCTCTGATAAACCTCCTTCTCCTGTACATGACTGTGTCCGTGTGGCCTTCTGGGATGGCCGCTTACAGGATGGATGAGTGGGTGGTAGATGGATGGACAGATCATGGGAAAGTAAAGAAATGGATCATTTCATGGACAGATGGATGGACAGATAGGAGCCCAAAGGGCTCGCAATTGGGCATCTGTCCTTCTGGCCCTAGACAAATCTCTGAAAGCTTTTTTTCTACCACTTGAGCCATAGTTCCGATTCTTTTTTTTTTGGATCAGTTGTGGGGCTTGAACTCAGAGCCTGGGCACTGTCTCAAGGTGAGCGCTCTACCGGTTGAGCCACAGCACCACTTTGGTTTTCTGGTGGTTCATTGGAGGTAAGAGTCTCACAGACTTTGCTGCCCTGGCTGGCTTTGAACCATGATCCTCAGATTTCAGCCTCCTGAGTAGCTAGGATGACAGGCGTGAGCCACCAGTGCCCGGCTTCCATTCTGCTTTTTGAAACGAGGTAAGTCTCATGGGCTTTCCCACCCATGCTGGTTTTGAACCAAGATCCTCAGATCTCAGCCTCTCGAATAGCTAGGATTATAGGTGAGAGCCATTGCTCCTAGGCCTTGTTTTTTTGAGCCATACTTGGGCTTGAACCCAGGGCTTCTCTTGTTTGCCATTCTGGCTTACAGAGGGTGCTGTACACCTGAACATCACCTCCAGATAAGCTTTTTTGCTGGTTAATTGGAGTACATGGACTCTCTTGCTCAGGCTGGCTTTGAACTAAGATCTTCTGGATCTCAGCTTCCCAAGTGTGAGCTACCAGGGCCCAGCTGTGATGATGGCCTTTCAGATGAGCATCTCTGGGCTGGGAAGGTGGTTCAGTGGTAGAGCACTTGCCTTGCATGCTTGAGGCCCTGGGTTCGATTCCTTAGCACCACATAAGCAAGAAGAAAAAAGCCGGAAGTGGCACTGTGGCTCAAGTGGTAGAGTGCTAGCCTTGAACTGAAGAGCTGAGGGACAGGGCCCAGGCCCAGAGTTCAGGCCCCACCACCAGACCCAAAAAAAAAAAAACCAGATGAGCACCCTTCAAACACAGGCCTCTCCTCACACATGCTACTTGACCTAGAGCAGCTTACTTGAGGTCTATGGCTCAGTTTCCTTACCAATCATACAGCTGACAATAACACCTACTCTATAGGGTTGTTTCAAATAGTCAGTTCATGGATATAATATTCTTCTGACAGCTGGGCACTGGTGGCTCACGCCTGTCATCCTAGCTACTCAGGAGGCTGAAATATGAGGATCATCGTTCAAAGCCAACCCGGGCAGGAAGGTCCATGAGACTCTTATCTCCTATGAACTACCAGAAAACCGGAAGTGACGCTGTGGCTCAAGTGGTAGAGCGCTCGCCTTGAGCTGAAGAGCTGAGGGGACAGCGCCCAGGCCCAGAGTTCAAGCCCCACGACCGACAAAACGAAACAAAAATTCTTCTGACAATTACAACTTAGGGCCTGGGCGCTGTCCCTGAGCTCTTGTACTCAAGGCTAGCCCTCTATCACTTGAGCCACAGCTCTACTTCCAGTATTTTCTGCCGGTTGATTGGACATAACAGTCTCATGGATTTTCCTGCCCAGGCTGGCCTTGAACCTCAATCCTCAGATCTCAGCCTCTGAGTAGTTAGGATTAGAGGGGTGAGCCACCAGTGCTGGCCAGTTTTTACTATTATAATTAGCTTGCATCACTTTCGCATCACTTTGGCTGAGAGCAGGCCTCTGTGCAAGGCCCCGAGTTCAAATCCCAATACTGCTAATAATAGTAATAGTAATTATTATCACTGTACTATATATTACTACAATATATGACATATAATTAAATGTAATACTATATTATAATAAGGCATTACAGATCATATAATAATAATTACTATTATTAAATTATTATTAGCCATTTGTCCAAACAACTAGCCAATGAATGTGCTGTATAACTTGTCCAGAGATTTTCTCTGGCCTGACTATTTAAAATAGCCAAAAATATCTTTTTTTCTATTTAATTTATTTTGTGCTAGAACTGGGGCTTGAACTCAGGGGTTTAGCCCTAAGTATTTTTGTCCAAGGCTCTACCACTTGAGCCATATTTCCACTTCTGGCTTTTTACTAGTTAATTGGAGATAAAAGTCTCAGGGAGGGGCGGGAAAGTGGCTCAGTGGCAGAGTGCTTGCCTTGCATGCCTGAGGCCCTGGGTTCGATTCCTCAGCACCACATAAACAAAAAGAAGAGCCGGAAATGGTGCTGTGGCTCAAGTGGTAGAGCACTAGCCTTGAGCTGAAGAGCAGAGGGACACCCAGGCCCAGAGTTCAGGCCCCACAACCGGACCCCCCCCCCCGCAAAAAAAAAAAAGTCTCAGGGACTTTGCTGAGCTATATCCGCAACCCCCTAATTTGTACTAAACACTCACCAAAAACAACCACTATTTGCCTTTGCTTTTTTCATTCAGCACTGATTAAGCACCTACTGTATTTAAGTCCAGGAAGAGGAGACAGAAGTTGCAAAGGTCCTGGGGTAGAAACCCATGAAGTAGTCTTCCTTCCTTCCTTTCCTTCCTTCTTCCTTCTTGTTCTCTTCAGCATTATGAATCAAACCCAGGACCATGTGCCCAGCAGGTGCGCACACTAGCACTCACCCACCCCTCCTTATTTTCTCCCCAGAATTGTTCAAGGTTTTAGATACACATGGGTGAACAAAACAAGTTAAGTCCTATCCTTAAGTTTTTTGGTTCTTTTTTTTGGTCAGTTGTGGGGCTTGAACTCTGGGTCTGGGTGCTGTACCTCAGTTCTTCAACTCAAGGCTAGTGCTTTGCATCTTGATCCACAGCACCACTTCTGGTTTTCTGGTGGTTTACTGGAGGTGGCCTCATTTGCACCAGGCCTGGAGGAGGAGACAGAAGTGTGTTTGGGTTGTGTGTTTGGGAGAATTGCATGGACTTGGGCCCATGGTATTTCCCCAACCCACACTAACCGCTACCCCGGAGCTAGCTTCCAGTGGGGCCTCGTGTCCACACAGGGGACTTCCAGTGGGAGCTGGAGGCTTCTGTCTCTGCCTCTTCTTGCTGGCCCTTTGCTGGCCTTCCTGGGAGCAGCTCCAGTTTGGAGGGGGGCTGGAATCCCCCCCCCCGTTCTTTTTTTTTAATCATGGGATTACACTGAGGACCTGGGGCTGTCTCTGAGCGCTTCAGCTCAAGGCTAGCGCTCTACCACTTTGAGCCACAGCGCCACTTCGAGTTTTCTAGTGGTTCACGTGGAGATAAGAGTCTCGCAGGGATTTTTCTGCCCGGGCTGGCTTTGAACTGCGATCCTCAGGATCCTCAGCCTCCTGAGTAGCTAGGATTAGAGATGTGAGCCACCGGCGCCCGGCTCAGATTTGTCCCTGAAGAAGCCACCAGGCTCTGATCTCAGGGCCTGAGGAGAGTATCTTCCAAGGAACACAGTTAGGGCCCGAAAACCCAGCTAATGCTGCCTCATCCCGCTTCTAGGGGAAGACTTGTAACCCCCTTCCCAAGCACGGAGGGACTGGAGGGGGCTTCTGTGCCGCCTGGTAGGAGTGGAGCCTGTGGGAGGATCTGGAGTCATCTTGCTAGGTTTCCAATCTGGCAATTTTCTGACCTGGAGCTGTGTGACCCTGCACAGCTCACTCAACCTCTCTGAACTCATCTTTCCCCCACTCCTCCCCAGCAAGAGTTTAAATTTGGTTCTACCAGCAGAAGAGTTCAGGCCTGGAAGGTGTTTGACAAAGGTGAAGTCTTCCTTGGGTTGGGGGGTGGGGGTAGTGAGATGGGGGGAGAGTATCTGGACCTACAGAGGAGCACCCCCCCACACACACAATAACCCTCTAGGTTCTCTCTTTGAAGTAATGCAGGCGCCCCGCAAACTCCCCTAGCAGCTCAGGGAAAAGATCAAGGTTGCTGGTATTTTCTCAGAAGCAGCTGAACGCCCAGCTCAGACAAGGGGGCGGGGCAGGGGCGGGGCCTGAGGGTGGGGGAGGAGCCAGCAGAAAGCTTGGGGCGGGGCGGGGGCAGGAGGCGGGGCCCCACTGGCAGAGGGCTGGCCAATGAGCGAGAACGTGCTCAGGTACCAGTTTGAGTTCCCTTCTTGGACCTAAAATAATAATAATAGTAATAAGTAAAGCTGGGCCAGGCACTGGCCTAGTCATCCTAGCTACTCAGGAGGCTGAGATCTGAGGATGGCAGTTCAAAGCCAGCCCAGGCAGGAAAGTCCATAAGACTCATCGCCAATAAACCACCAGAAAACTGGAAGTGGCGCTGTGGCTCAAGTGGTAGCGCACTCGCCTTGAGCTGCAGAGCTGAGAGACAGCGCCCAGGCCCTGAGTTCAAGCCCCACGACCAAACAAAAACAAAACAAAGCTAAATAAATAAAGCTGGGGGTGTCTAAGCACCCTAAAAGACACAACCACTACCAGAAAGAAAAAAATGGAACCGTTTATTAGGCCGGCTCTGGGTCTCCAAGGTGGGGCTGAGGGGTGACATCTGGGAAGCTGTATGAGGGGAGCTGAGCTCCCAATTGGCTCCTTGCACCCCCAAAGCCCCCCCCTCCCCAGCCTTTGCATTCACAAGAAGTTACTCAGCGTGGGCACACACACATGTAGAGACGCGGAACATCGATGGGGGGAGCAGGAAGGAGGAACAGCACACACCACACACAGACACATAAATAGTTTGTACCGTAACTGCCCTACAATTTATCCACATGATGTTTTGCAAAGTCTTTGTTTTGTTTTTTTTAAATTGTGCCCGTCCCGGGGCTTGAACTCAGGTCCTGAGCGCTGTCCCTGAGCTTTTGTACTCAAAGCTAGCGCGCTACCACTGGAGCCACAACTCTATTTCTGGCTTTTATGTTTGCTCTGCTAGTTCATTAGAGATAAGAAGTCTTATGGACTTTCCTGCCCAGGCTGGCTTTGAACCTGGATCCTCAGACCTCAGCCTCCTGAATGGCTGGGATTCCAGGTGGGAGGCACGGTGGTGGGTGCGGGCTTGCAGAGTCTTTGTGGGGCAACAAAAGGCCCATGTCCTTGTGCACCCCTCTCCCATGCTGTGTTCTAAAACAGCCTACAGGGTGCTCGGTGGGTTCGAGGCTTCTCTGCTTGGGGGACCCTCGGCTGGGAGGAAAGTATAAAAATGGGACTTACTGCGCGAGCTGCTGCTACATTGTCCCCCCCCCCAGAACATTCTCAAGTATTCCCTCGCTCTTCGAAGAGGCCCAAAGCCTTTCCCCAAGCAGGTTTTTCCAGTCTTTGGCAATTCCTCTGCACCCCAATAGTGCAATTGTCTGGTCTGAGAATGGGGAATGGGGCTCAGTCACCCCCCAAGCGCGCCCCCCCATGATTGGCATCGGAGAGGGAAGGGGAGGAGGAGGCTGGCGAGGAGGAGGAGACCGGGCAGACAGAGGATCCGGGCTCAGGAAGCAAGAAAGCAGCTCCCTACGCCTGCCTCAGGTGATTCAGAGACATTTCTAGAAGGGAGCTGGGGGCAGGGGAGACCGTCAGGCAGGAAGATGGTGAAATCCTTTTTTTTTTTTTAATCAGTGGGGAACTATTTCTGCTTAGTCCTCCGTCACCCTAGACTTGGCTAAGTGCTCTACCGCTTTGAGCCACAGCGCCACGTCACTCTTTGGTGGTTCATTGGAGTTAGATTCAGAGTCTCACAAACTCCGATCTTCAGCCCTCCTGAGTAGCCGGGATTACAGGCGTGAGCACCGACGCCCGGCATCACCTGGTCATTTTGAGTCTCACACGGTCTCATCCTTGCCTTGGGACTGGCCGGTGGCTTCCAAAAGTCGCCCCAGGCTGTGGATGAGTGATGTTCCTTCTGACCCAGTTCTGCAGAATTGGGGGGGAGGGGGCTTCTGGCTGGACAGCCCCCCCCCCACACACACCTCGTTCCCCGGAATAGGCGTGTTGGTGGTGACCCGCTGTGGCCTGAGCATCGGTCAGACCACAGTGTTGCTTTCGAAGAACGTGGGGGACGTGGGCGCGTGCATTGCTCTCTCCAGAGAGCTGGAGCTGCGTAAGGGAAGCAGGCGATGGCCCGGGGTCCCCCCTCGCCGTCCTGTGACCCCCGTGGCCCGACGCCAGCACTGGAAGGGGCGCAGCACCTCCCGCCGAAGATCCCGGCTGCGCCAGGTATAGATGACTGGGTTGAGCAGGGAGTTGAGGGTGGCGAAGGCAAAGAAATAGTGGGCTTTGTAGAGGACGGGACAGGCGCGCACGGGGCAGGCATAATCCAAAAGGAGAATACTAAAGGCGGGCAGCCAGCAGATGATGAACACACCCAGCACGATGGTGACCGTCTTGAGCAAAGCCAGGGTCTGAGGACCAGCCACGTCCGCGTGGCTGGACCGGACCACGCAATAGATGCGAATGTACAAGGCCACGATGGCCAGCAAGATCACGGAGAAGATCGTGACCACACACAGCACGTAAGGCTTCGCGTAGAGGGGCAGCACCGTGGAACAGGCCTCCAGGTGCCCCAGACAGTTCCAGCCAAGGATGGGCAAGCCCCCCAGGATGAGCGAGATGAGCCACGACGCCCCGATGAGCAACAGCATCCGGCAGCTCTTGTCGCTGCCGTACACCTTGACCTTGGCGATGGCCACGTGTCGTTCAATGGCGATCGCCAGCAGGCTGAAGACGGACGCCGACAGCGTGATAAAAGCAGAGCCCTCCCGGGCGAACCACTGGACGGGCGTCAGCCACAGGGTGACGGGACCCGAGAGCAAGGTGTTGGCCACAAACGCCACCCCGGCCAGGAGATCGGAGGCGGCCAGATTCCCCAGGAACAAATACATGGCCGAATGGAACTTGCTGTTGCGGGCCACGGCGATGAGGACCAACAGATTCTCCACCACGATGGCGCAGCAGAGGACGATGATGAAGGCGGAGGCTACCTGGCGGGACGGCGTCTCCTGCGTGTCCAGCGTCTCTTTGGTGTAGTTGTAATGGTCCACCACTTTGTTGGGATTGAGGTATTCAGAATAGTAGCTGCCCATGGTCTCAGTGGCCGGCTGGGGCCATGAGGCTGTTAGAACTGCCAGACAGGACAGACAGGACAGACAATAGGTTAGAACTATGACTGCAGCGGTGGGACGGTTTTCTTTTTTGTCAGTCGAGGGGCTTGAACTCAGGGCCTGAGCGCTGTCCCTCAGCTCTTCAGCTCAAGGCCAGCGCTCTACCACTTGAGCCACAGCGCCACTTCCAGTTTTCTGGTGGTTCATTGGACATAAGAGTTTCACAGCTTTTCCTTCCCCGGGCTGGCTTTGAACTGTGATCCTCAGATCTCAGCCTCCTGAGTAGCTAGGATGACAGGCCTGAGCCATTGGTGCCCGGCTGTTTTGTTGTTGTTTTTTTTTCTTGCCGATCCTGGGGTTGAACTCAGGGCCTGGGCGCTGTCCCTGAGCCTCCTTATGCTCAAGACTAGTGTTCTACCACTTGAGCCGCAGCACCACTTCTGGTTTTTTGAGTAGTTGATTGGAAAACGAGTCTCACGGGCCGGGTGCTGGTGGTTCATGCCTGTAATCCTAGCTATTCAAGAGGCTGAGATCTGAGGATCACAGTTCAAAGTCAGCCCAGGCAGGAAAGTCCGTGAGACTCTTATCTCCAATAAACCACTAGAAAACCGGAAGTGGCGCTGTGGCTCAAGCGGTAGAGCACCAGCCTTGAGCTGAAGAGCTGAGGGACAGCGCCCAGGCCCAGAGTTCAAGCCCCACAACCGACCAAAAAAAAAAAAAAAGAGTCTCACGGGGACTTTTCTGCCCGGGCTGGCTTTGAACCATGATTGTCAGATCTCAGCCTCTTGAGTAGCTAGGATTACAGGTGTGAGCCACCAGCGCCCTGCTGGGTTAAGATGCCAATCATGGATGGTAGAGGTTTCGATTCCAGCTCTGTGACTCATTGGCTGTGAAATCAGATGTACCCTCGCCCCCACTTTACAAATGGGGTAACCCAAAAGGTCAATTCACTTTAAAATGTATTCATTTTTTCCTGTCGGTCGTGGGACTTGAACTCTGAGCTTGGGCACTGTCCCTGCGCTCTTTAGCTCAAGGTGCGCGCTCTGCCGCTTGAGCCACAGCACCACTTCCGGTTTTCTAGTGGTTTTTATTGGAGATAAGAGTCTCACGGATGCCCGGGCTGGCTTTGAGAGCCTCGATCCTCAGATCTCAGCCTCCTGAGTAGCTAAGATGACAGGTATAAGCCACCGGCACCTGGCTTCCTGGTGGGTTTTGAAATACAACCCTCAGATCTCAGCCTCCTGAGTAGCTAGGATTACAGACATGTGTACCAGCACGCGGCTACACATTTCCCCTTCCTCCTGGAGTCTTCAAGCTAGCTAGCTAGAGGCAGGGCTACTGGTTCCACAAGTTGCAAGAAATCCTGAGCCATGTCACCTTTCAAAGCAGCAGACATGCAGCTGGGCATGGTAGCACCCGCCTGTCTCCTTAGCACCCAGGGACATCAAGGCAAGGGAACGCGAGTGCTTGGCTGGTTGGGGCTACAGAGAATTGCAGATCAGCCTAGGCTATGTAGCATGGGGAGACCTTGTCTCCAAACCACAAAATAAATTTTAAAATAATAATTGCCGGGCACGGGTGGCTCACGCCTGTAATCCCAGCTACTCAGGAGGCTGAGATCTGAGGATTGAAGCTCAAGGCCAGCCCCAGCAGGAAAGTCCTTGGAGACTCATCTCCAAGGAACCACCAGAAAACTGGAAGTGGTGCTGTGGCTCAAGTGGTAGGGCACTCACCTTGAGCTAAAGAGCTGAGGGACAGCGCCAGGTCCAGAGTTCAAGACCCACGACCGACAAAGAAAATAAATAAAAAATAACCAAGAAAAGTCAGTATTTCTCTGAAATAAAATGAGAGATACACCTTGGATTTGAAAATCTGATCCCCCCCCCCATTCTCTCTCTCTGTGGTAGTGGGACTTAAACTCAGTACTTCACAATCATAAACTCTACTACTTAAATTATGACCCCTAGCCCTTTTTTGTTTAGTCCCTCCCCCCCCCCCCCCCCCCCCAGGCATGGGACTTGAACTCTGGGCCTGGGCACTGTCCTCAGCTCTTCAGCTCAAGGCAAGTACTCTACCCCTTGAGCCACAGCGCCACTTCCAGTTTTCTGGTGGTTTATTGGATATAAGAGCCTCATGGACTTTCCTGCCCAGGGTGGCTTTGAACCGTGATCCTCAGATCTCAGCCTCCTGAGTAGCTAGGATTGCAGGCGTGAGCCACTGGTGCCGGGCTTCTGTTCTTGAACACGCAGAGCCTAGGGCTGCGTGCCACCTGCTGACCTGAGCCTGGCAGATCCCTGCCGCCGATAGCGCCCTATCCTGCTCATTACCACCCACTGCCCTGATTCCAGGCTGCGTCTAACCCTTAAGGCCATGGGTGCTCCCCAGATAAGGACTTGGGGCGACACCAAGGCGGCCCTGTGGGTCAGGCATTTCAGAGTCTCACTGTCTACAAGCACACAAGCCTGCGGGCCAATGCAAAGTAAATGCTGTCTCTCTCTGAGTCTGACTAGCCAGGCAATGCCCAGCACATTCTGCTGCTTTGCCTCCATCGATGATGGGAAACATCTCTTTATTTTTCCCACAGTCCTGGGGATTTGAACTCAGGGCTTCTCCTTTGCTAGGCAGACATTCTTTATCACTGGAGGAGCCATACCCCCAGTCCTGTAGGTATTTTTGGATAACAGGCTAGGTTTCTTTTTCACCTGGTCTAGTCTGATCCTCAATCCTATTTTATTTATTGTGGTTGTGGGGCCTAAACTCTGGGCCTGGGCTCTGTCCCTCAGCTCTTCAGCTCAAGGCGAGTGCTCTACCACGTGAGCCGCAGCACCACTTCTGGCTTTTTCTGCTTATGTGGTGCTGAGGAATGGAACCCAGGGCCTCATGCATGCAAGGCAAGCGCTCTACCACTGAGCCACCTTCACAGCCCCTGTTTTCATTTTTTTAAATGTGTGAAGCCAGGTTGGTTGCACACACCTGCAAGCATTTAGTAGCATGAGTGAGAGGCTGAGGTAGAAGAATTCAAGACCAGCCTGGGCAGCACAGCAAAACCCATTTCCAAAATAAAATAGAGGGTTAGAGGCATGATTCAAGTGGTAGCTCCTCAGCCAATCAGTGAAAACATCAGATCAAGAGTTCGAATCCCTGTCCCAGACCAAAAGGAAAAAAATAACCAAAATAGTATAAAGTTTTTTTTAAAAAAAGCAGGCGGGCACCAGTGGCTCACGCCTGTCATCCTAGCTTACTCAGGAAGCTGAGATCTGAGGATCATGGTTCAAAGCCAACCCGGGCAGGAAAGTCCCCATGAAACTCTTATCTTCCATGAACCACCAAAAAGCTGTAAGTGGAGCTATGATTCAGTGTTAGGGCACTAGCCTTGAGTGCAAAAGCTTAGCAACAGCACCCAGGCCCTGATTTCAAGCCCCATGACTGACCAAAAAAAAAAAAAAAAAAGTCTCAGACTTCCTTGCCCAGGCTGGCCTCGGACTACGATCCTCAGAACTCAGCCTCCCGAATGGCTAGAATTAGTGGCCTTGCCCCAGTAATGTTTTCACACCACGCTGACGGAGCTAACCAAAGTAATTGTCCACAGGTGGCTTCCATGAGCACCAGCCAGCTCTGCCCTGGGCCAGAGTACCAGGGGGGTGGGGGGGAGGGTGGGAAGGACACTGAGTAGGGTTGCTGGCACCCCGTTCCTAGCAAGGATGAAATCCAGATGTGTAAGACCCCTTTGCAACAAACAGGGTGGAGACCGGTCATATCCGGTGTGGAGAAGGCAGGCTGGGAGGAGGGGGGTGGCGGGGGTCACCCGAGACCCCTCTGGGAGGTCCTGGCGGTGGAAGACGGAGCAGCTGCTCAATCATGTGAGCGATGGAGGGGGCGGCATTGGGCTCAGCACGGAGGGGGGAGAAGGCCTGAGTCACCCCCTTTTCTCAAGGAAAACTGAGCCTTTAGAGGGGGGATGGTTGGGGGGGAGAAGGCCTTTGTGGGCAGGGAGAAAGAAAAACTCACAACAGGGCCAGTTTGGGGGTGCAGAAGTGGGGTGGGGGGGGTGGTTAGAGGAAGGAGGAAACATCAGCCTTTAGCTAAATGGAGGAAAACGGGGTGTGTGTGTGTGTGTGTGTGTGTGTGTGTGTGTGTGTGTGTGTGTGTGTGTGTGTGTGTGTGTGTGTGTGTGTGTGTAGGGGCGGTGGGGGTGATTACAGCCAAAAACCCCGCCCCTGTCCCTGGAAACAAGCCCGGGGCCACTTGACAGTTCCAAAAAAAAAAAAAGAAAAGGCTGGTTAGGCCAGTTTCTAGTGAGCCCTAGAAATAGTGGGGGGCTTCCAGGGTCTCCCAGCCATCATCTCACTTCCCGGATGCGTGGTCCCCGCTACAGGAGTGGCAGCTGCTCTCCCCCCCTCCAGGCGAAGGGACATCCGTCCTAGTTTTGGAAAACAGAGAAGAGCTTGTACGTGTCCTTGGGGACAGCTGCCCCGCCCAGATCTCCAAACAGAGGCCCCCTTGTTCCCCTCACCGGACAGGGCCCCGGGCACCCCATGCCCTCTGAAACCCATCTCAGGCTGGCTTGGCCCAGTCGACCGGCCTTACCAGAACCAAGCTGTGGGGACGGACGGACACACACACACACACACACACACACACACACACACACACCCAGGACGGACACACACACACACACACACACCCAGGACGAACACACACACACACACACACACACACACACCAGGACGGACACACACACACACACACACACACACACACACACACACACACCAGGACGGACACACACACACACACACACACACACACCAGGACGGACACACACACACACACACACACACACACACACACACACCCTTCCAAACAGCCTGATTGGCCTATTTTTCAATCCCAGGCACTGAACCATTTTCTTATTGGTCAGAGCGGTCCATCCTCAGCCTCTGATTGGTCCACTCTATGGTTAGTCTGGCCATGAGGGAGTTTATAGCTCTTAGAACTAAGAAGTTAAAGCGGTGTGGATGTTTCCCGGCTGGACCATCTCAACCCTAGCCTGACCACTGGGTCACCCCTCCCCTCCCCATCAGAGGCCTCCCCCAAGCTGCTGCTGCTGGGTGCCTGAGGCCTCCCTCCTGGAGTTGATAACTGAGAATCAAGGCTCTCCATTGCATGCCTGTTTCCCCAAGAAAGCAAGCAAGCCTGGGTACGTCCCACAGCCCCTCCCTCTGCGGCTCACATGGGGGCTGCAGAGAAAGATTTATGGCTATTTCCTGTATGCTGCCCTGTGCACCCTAGAGACTAAGCCAGAAAAGTCGATCTTCTTCCCTGGGGAAGATTGTGGAAGATTGTGGGTGCTGAGCTTCCTTCCTATTTTCTGCAGACCCAGGGAGCTAAGATGTCTGAAAGAAAAGGGCAGATCTCTGTTAGAGGAGAAACTGAGGCCTGCACTATCTCTTCATCACATCATACCCAACTAGAACATTACTTATGAAGGCAGGAGCTTGGACAGGTTGAAGTTTTCCCGGCAGGGCCCCTGTGGCTCAAGCCTGTCATCCTAGCTACTCAGGAGGCTGAGATCTGAGGATCGAGCTTCAAAGCCAGCCTGGGCAGAAAAGGCTATGAGACTCTTATCTCCAATCAACTACTCAGAAAAAGCGGGAAATGGCACTGTGGCTCAAGTGGTAGAGCACTAGCCTTGAGTACAAAGAGGCTCAAGAACCATGCCCAGGCCCTGAGTTCAAGCCCCAGGACTTGGGGTGGGGAGAGGGGGAGTTTTCCCAAGAGAAAACTGGGCCCTGGGCCCTAGAAGCTGGAGAAGGGCACAGATGCCTGGCTGTCTAAAAAATGCACGTACTGTGGGATCGCCTCCACCAGGGTGCTCTGAGCCCCTGTGCTCAGACACAGTGCCCCCCTCCCCAAGCTCCCAAGATTCCATTGCCCGTACTGAGAGAGGTAATGGCCAGGCTTCCAGTGGAACAAAGAGAAAGTGACAGGAGGAAGGGAAGAGAAATACACCCAGACTTGACTGTTTGTTGAAGAAGATTAGGAGAGACATCCTACATCCCTCACCTTCTCATTCTTTTGGTCCCTCCCCCCCCCACACACACACACACATTTTGCCATTCTCCATCAAGCAGTTGGGGGGGGAGAGGGATTTCTACTCAAGCAAGACATCCTTCTAAGCTGGGCACCAATGGCTCACGCTTATCATCCTAGCTACTCTGGAGGTTGGAGATCTGAGGATTGTGGTTCCAAGCCTGCCTGGTTAGGAAAGTCCACGAGACTCTTATCTCCAATGAACCACCAAGAAACAGGATGTGGCCCTGCGGCTCCAAGTGGTAGCAAAAAAGAGCTCAGGGACAGCACCCAGGCCCTGAGTTCAAGACCCACAACCATCACCACCACCACCACCAACAACAAAAAGCTTTCTATGGATTCTACTTCCTACAGTTCCTGTGCCTTAGTTCCTGGCACGGGGGCTCTGCCCACCCCTCCCACCTACCCCAGGGAGGTACCATTCTAATCTCACTAGTTTTCTATGGACCACTTAAATCCCACCCTCAAGGCTCTTGCTTGTGTTAACCCACCTATCCCCCTGAATATCTTTAGATGACTGTCTTTTTCACTTGTTAGGTTTCTATTTACTTGTTAACTTTTTCCCCTGACCTTTAGTCTCAGAAAAAAGTAGCAGCAGCCTTCAATTCCAAGGAGAATCTAAGCAAACCTTAGATTCTAATTAGACCTCAGATTCACAGTTGTTGGGCTGGTTTTTGTTGTTGTTGTTTGACAGTCCTGGGGCTTGAACTCAGGGCCTGGGCACTTCCCTGAGTTTCTTTTGCTCAAGGCCAGCACTCTACTATTGAGCCACTAGGCTACTTCTGTTTTGTGTGTGTGTGTGTGTAGGGGCGGGGGGGGGGGGGGGGGGGGGGGGGGTAAGGGGGGAGAAGCTGAGGAATCGAACCTAGGGCTTCATGCATGCTAAGCAAGCACTCTACCACTAAGCCACATCCCCAGCCCTGGGGTTTTTGTTTTGCCAGTCCTGGGGCTTGAACTCAGGGCCTGGGCACTGTCCCTGAGACTCTTTTGCTCAAGGTTAGCACTCTACCACTTGAGCCACAGCACCACTTGCATCTTTTTCTGAGTAGTTTCTTGGAGATAAGCGTCTCACAGACTTTCCTGCCCAGGCTGGCATCGAACTTTGATCCTCAGCTCTCAGTCTCCTAAGTAGCTAGGATGGCAGATGTGAACCACCAGTGCCGGGCTAGATGGGCAGTTTGAAAGGAAGATGATGTCGGCCTCACTTCCCACCCCAGGGGGAAAATGTTTTATTTTTCGCTGTTCCTTTTCTCCCTAGCTTCACCACGGAGAAGTTATAACTTCGCTGCCCCTCCGAGGATGCCTGGAGCCAAAAAAGATGAAACTCCGGAAACGTGGGGGGGGGGGAGAAGGAGAGAGAGAGAGGGAGGGAGGGAGGGAGGGGAGGGGACAGATGGACGAATGATTGAGTGAAAGAATGAATGAGGGAGGGAATGGATGAATGGAACTGGAAGGCCCAGGCCCCAAAGTACTACAGCCCCGCCCTCCCCCACCACAGAGAGGGTGGGAGACGCAGCCGTGGTCCCCTGGATGGCCTGTCCCCCCCCCCACATCCCACCAGGCCGAAGCCCAGCGTCTCCATGGAGACGGCGGCCCCGCCCCGCCCCGCCCCGCCCCTGCGCTCCCGGCCTCCTTATCTGGCCTAGGAATGCGCGGTATCCACTCTCCAAGGCCCGGGCGCGCGCGCGTGCGCTGGGGCGGCGCCTCCTCCCCCTCCCCGCGCCCCCCACCCCATCACCAAGCCACGGGGTGCGGGACGACCCCCCTCCCCCGGCCCTGACACCTCCCAAATGGGGGGGGGGGGGGGTGGACGACTCTTCCAGATCTCTCTTCAAGATCCCGCTTCTAGATTCCTGGGGAGATGGAGTAGGAGGATTGGGGGGGGGCCCCCAACCGTACCCATCCCTCCCCAACTGCGCCCCTCGGGGGAAAGGGCACCCGCGTGGGCTCAGCGAGTGTCACCCGGGGGCGTCTGACAAGGACAGTTGTCGGGGGGAGGCAGGGAGTGGAAAATCCCCGGCTGAGTCAGCCGCCCCCCCCCGCCCCGCGCGGGGCCTGAGGGTCCGGGGCTCCAGGCTGCCCACGCCACGCGCGTCTCCACCCACGGCCCCATCGCTCGGCCCGTGGGCAGAGAGGAGCCACGCAGTCCATCTCCCTCGCCTTCCAGGACCAAGCCACGCCCCCTCCCTCCACGAAGGGACCGGAGGCAGACAGACAGCTCGGGGAAACTGAGGCACAGGGCGATCAGCGACCGCCCTCCCTCCGCACCCCCTTGGAGGCCGGGCTATCACTCCGGCTCAGCCAGACACAGCCAGAAAGCGCGGGGTCCGGGGGGGGGGCACAGCCAGGCGGCACCCGCCCCCCACGATCCCCGCACACGCTCCCCCGAACCCTGGGCCCAGGGAGGCACCGGCCCCGGCCCGGCGACGCCGCCAGCCCGCAGCGCGCGGATTCCGCCTTCCCTTCGGCGCCAACTTCCTGCCCCGCGGGAAGGCGGGGAGCGCGGTCTGGGGGTTCGCGGGCCGCGTCCTCGGGGGGGGGCCGCGGCGCGTGCGCGCGGGGGGCGCCCGCGGAGGGGGTGCGGAGGGGGTGCGGGGCCCCCGGCCGGGGCCCCTGCGCGCCGCCCACCGCGCGGGGGAACCCGGGCCCCGCCCCGCCGCCGCTCCGAGCGCGCGCTCACCTGGCGGAGCCGGCCCCGGTCCCTGCCCGGCCGGAGCGGCCTCGGCGTCGGCGTCCCCGGGCGGCCGCGGCTGGGGCTGCTGGCCCGGGCTCCGCGGCGTCCCCTCCCGGGCTCGGGGACCCGGACGGGGAAGGGGGCGGGGAGAGCCGCGCCGGCCCCCTGCCCCGCCCTCTCCCCGCCCCTTTCCGGCGGCGGCGGCTGCAATGAATTCCAGATGTGGCCGCCGTGGGGAGGGAGGGGAGGAGGGAGGAGGGAGGGGAGGAGGGAGGGGGAGGAGGAGGTGAGGGTGAGGAGGAGAGGGAGGGAGGGAGGGGGAGGAAGGGGAGGAGGAGGAGTGGAGGGGGGAAGGAGGAGGGAGGGAGGGGGAGGAGGGAGGGGGAGGAGGGAGAGGGAGGGAGGGGGAGGAGGAGAGGGAGGGGAGGGGGGAGGAGGAGGAGGGAGGGGGAGGAGGAGAGGGAGGGAGAGGGGGGAGGAGGAGGAGGGAGGGGGAGGAGGGAGGGGAGGAGGAGGAGGGAGGGGGAGGAGGAGGAGGGAGTGGAAGGAGGAGGAGGGGGAGGAGGGAGGGGGAGGAGGAGGAGGGAGGGGGAGGAGGAGGAGGGAGGGAGAGGGGGGAGGAGGAGGAGGAGGGAGGGGGAGGAGGAGGGAGGGGGAGGAGGAGGGAGGGGGAGGGGGAAGAAATCCCGCCCGGGCCCCTTTGTCCGCCCCGCCCCGCCCCTCCCCGTGAGAACCGACCGGCGTGTGACGTCACACGCGCGCCCATGACGTCACTGCCCGTTCCCCCCCCCAAAAAAAAAAAAATACCCAAACAGCAGCCGTCTCCCAAAGCCCCTGGAAATGGAGGCCGGGTTCGCCCGTCGGCAAAAAGCACCTACTGTGTGTCGAGCCCGGGCCCGGTCTGCGCATGTCACCCAGAGCACGGACCCCCCCCACCCCCCCCCCACCCCCCCCCATCCCCCCACCCCCCCCCACCCCCCTTCAGATCTCAGGAGGCTGGCTTGTTTTTCCTTGAAAAACTCTTCAGGTGAGGCCACAGTCCATCCCGATTTCCCTGGGCCACGAGCCAGTGGGGGGGGGTATGGGGGCGGGCGGGGACGACGCCTCATTACCGCGCACCCCCCACCCCTGCTCACATCCAGCTTTGCCTGGGCTTTGGCGAGCGCCCGCCCGGATGCGGAGGGGCCTCACCCCCGCTGCGGGAGCCACGCCCCTCGACTGGCCACGCCCCTTTGATTGCCACGCCCCGCAAGCCAGCCCCGCCTCCAGCCCACCTCGGTAGGGCGCTTGCGGGTACCTGTCCCAGGCCAGCAATAAATTAATGGAGGCCCCTCCACACCCAGAGGAGAGACGAGGGCATGGCCAGGAGAGCGGCCCACATCTGTAAGCCGACATACCCAGGAGGCTGCGATCTGAAAAGCCAACCCAAGTAAAGAGGTCAGATTTTGTTGGTGGTGGCAGTGGTGGTCGTGGGGCCTGAACTCTGGGCCTGGGCGCTATCCCTCAGCTCTTTAGATCAAGGCGAGCGAGCGCTCTACGACTTGAGCCACAGCCCCACTTCCAGCTTTTTCTGCTTATGAGGTGCTGAGGAATGGATCCTAGGGCCTCAAGCATGCAAGGCAAGCACTCAACCCCAGAGCCACCTTCCCAGCCCCTCCTATCAGATTCTTATCTCCAATTAATCACCAAAATGCTGGAAGTGGAGCTGTGGTTCAAGTGGCAGATCTCTAGCCAAAAAAAAAAAAGTGAAGGAGAGTGCTCCAGCCCTGAGTTCAAGCCCCAGAACTGGTACCAAATAAACAAATAAATTTAGAATTGAGCCATTGACACCTATTAAAAATGAAAATGAAAAAAATAAAAATGTTTGCTAGACACCAAGCTTACCTACTCAGGAGGCTGAGATCTGAAGGATTGGGATTCAAAGACAGCCCAGACAGAAAAGCTTGTGAGATCCTGTCTCCAATGAGCCAGCCAGTCACCCAGCTGGGGGTGTGGCTTTAGTGGTAGAGGTGTGGCTCCCCAGGCAGGGGCGTGGCTCAACTGGCACTGTACTTGCCTAGCAAGCCAAAGTTGTATGTTCAAACCCCACTACTGCCAAATTGCAATCTTCTCTGCACAGCAAGATTGCCAAAATGCAATCTTCTCTGCACAGCAAGACCCTCTTGGGAAAATGAACAAATGACTGTAATAAAAAATGTGAGTTGGGCCAGCTGCTGATGGCTCACACCTGTACTCCTAGCTAGGGTTGAGACCTGAGGATCAAGATTCAAAGCCAACCTAGGCAGGAATGTCTGTGAGACTATTTCTATTTGTTGGTCATGGGGCTTGAACGCAGGGCCTGGGTGCTGTCCCTGAGCTCTTTTGCTCAAGCAAGACTAGCGCTCTACTACTTTGAGCCACAGCTCCACTCTGTTTTCAGGTTCACTGGAGATTAAGTCTCAGTAACTTTCCTGCCCAGGCTGGGGCTTCTAACCAGAATCCTTGCGTCTCAGCCTCCTGAGTAGCTAGGATGACAGGCCTGAGTCACCAGCTCCCAGCTGGGTGTGAGATTCTTATCTCCAATCGCCCACTGAAAAGCTGGAAGTGGAGCTGTGGCTCAAGAAGTAGAGCGCTACTAGCCTTGAGCAACCACGTTGAGGGAAAATGCACAGGCCTTGAATTCAAGCACATGCACACACACACAGAGTGAGGCACACACACATTGCTTACGTGCGTTTCTGGGTGTATTTATAAAGACATTTGCCTGCAGACTTGCTGGTTATGTCTCTTTTAGGCATCAGTCATAGTGAGCTCAGAGGGAGGAAGGGGGGGGACAGGGAAATTAGGTAAAATGAGGCCAGCTATTCCCCCCAGCCCCCTGGGGAAACCATTGGAAGGCTTCAGCTTGTGCTACTAATTCTAAACATTTACAGATCTGAGATAACAAGTTCCCAGACAACTAATTGCAAAAGGGTTTTCTTTTGTTTTTGTGTTTTTTTTTTCTTCTTGGCTTGTGTTTTGTTATTTTGTGGTGCTGGGGCTTGAACTCAGAGCTTGGTACTTGCCAGGCAGGCGCTCTACCCCTTCAGCTATCAGTTCCAGCCTGCAAATTGAACCTTGTAATAATTATTGTGCACAGGAAAAATTACTAAACTTTGTGAATGCTAAGGACCAACCTCAGGGCCTCACACGTGGGAGGCAATGAACTCCATTCCTGACTGCAAACATCACTAAGGAACACTTCAACTCCCGTCTAAAATACTGACCTTCTGCTGGGCGCCAGTGACTTACGCCTATAATCCTAGCTACTCTGGAGGCTGAGATCTGAGGATCAAGGTTTGAGGCCTGAAGGGAGGCAGGAAAGTTTCCAAGACTCTTATCTCCACAAATCTACCAAAAAAGCCGGTATTGCAGCCATAGCTTAAGTGCCAAAACACTAGCCTTAAGCCCAGAGTTCAAGCCCCAGGCCCAGGAAAAGAAAGAAAGAGAGAGAGAGGGAAGGGAGAAGGGAAGGGAAAGGAAGGAAGGAAGGAAGGAAAGAAGGGAGGGAGGAAGGGAGGGAGGGAGGAAGGAAGGAAGGAGGAAGGGAGGAAGGCAGGGAGGGAAAAAGGGAAAAAGGGAGAAAAAGTATATTGCTAGGTGTGGTAGCACATGCCTTTAATCCCAGTGACTCCAGAGATGAAAACAGATAAATGGTAGTGAGCTCTTACTGCTAAAGCAAATTTGTTAAGCCAAGAAGGGTTGAGTGAAGTCGTGGCTCAGTGAAGCCCTGGGTCCAGTCTGTAGTATCCTGGTGGGGCGTGGAGGCGGGGGGGGGGGGGCGGGGGGGGGGCGGGGGGGGGACAGGGATATAGGAAGCTGAGGGGGGGAAAAGAGGGCCCAAAGATGGAGTCAACTGAAGGGGCTTGGATGGGGGCACGTGAGGAAAGTCGGACGGGCTGGGAGGGTGGCTCAGTGGTAGAGCGCTTGCCTCGCATGCCTGAGGCCCTGGGTTCGATTCCTCAGCACCACATAAGCAGAAAAAATTAAAAAAAAGGAAAGTCAGAGAATGGCTGATCATTCTAGACTTGACTCCCCCCCCCCCTTTAACTAGATTTAAAGGTTGCCAACCAAATCTTGGGGTGGGGGTCCCCACTGAGCCCCTCACCAAATCCCCTTTGAAGGATGATAGGTTTCCCAGGCAACCTAAAGAAGCCAGGTGATTCAACTCACCGGGGGAAAAGATTAAAAAAAAAAAATCTGGGCCATGGCGCTGGGCGAATGGGGTATCGGAGCGGAAATCGCCCTGGAGGACCTTCGAGGGGGGAGGGGAGGAAATGCCCTCCCCCCCACGCAGGCCCCGGCTGGCTCAGCAGTTTGCCATGGGGGGGGATGGGGGGGGCGTGGCACACATGTCAAGGCCACAGACATATCCGGGTGTCTGCTGCAGTCTGGGGGGTATGGGAGGAAACGGCGGCTCCCACTTAAAAGGTGAGGTCCCTAGGGGGCCATTCTCCTAAGGAAACTTCTAGAAGGTCAGAGCCAGGTCAGCTGGACAGTACCTGAGCAATACCATCTCATAATCTAAGAGAGATGGGAGAGAGACAGACACAGAGAGACAGACAGAAACACAGAGACAGAGATAGAGAGACAGACAGAGAGAGCGAGAAAGCCCCAGGGCCTGGTCCCCAGCGCTGCGCAGGACAGGGAAAGCAGAAGAGGAAGGAAATAGGACTTTTATTTTTTTATTTTTTTGAGAACTCGAAGCTGGGAAATAAAGGGAAAGGAAGTACTTGGACCAGTTCAGAGAATTTTTACTAATTATAGGGCGCACCCACATCCTTGTGAACACTCACCCACACACACGTGTGTGTGTGTGTGCGTGTGTGTGCGTGTGTGTGTGCGTGTGTGTGTGCGCGCGTGTGTGTGTGCGCGCGTGTGTGTGTGTGTGTGTGTGTGTGTGTTGTATGTACCGGGTGTGGTTTAGTGAACCCTCCACTAGCTGAGGGATGGATATTGTCTTCATTGTCTTCAACCCATTTCAAAGATGAGGAAAACTGAGGGCTACAGCATGGATGTGCCTTGAGTGCGTCTCCCTAGGCCCCTTGATGTAAATTGTGGGGTGTAGG